TTGTTATAGCTGAATCACATGAGATATTGACTTAAAATTTAACGCTGTGTTAGAATTGTAATTAAGTATTCATCTCTCGTATGTATTTGTAGAAGTATAAAATTGTTTACAGACATATCGAATTGATAGAAGAATCGTTTCGACATTACAATAATCAAAAATACGTTAGAATAACTCATTAGGCAAACTCAGAACAGATTTGTCTTCCATTTGTATGTTGAAAAGGAGTGAATTTAACTAATCATCATAATCTTCGTTATAACCTTGTTCTGTTCTCTGAAAACAATTACAAAATCTGTGTGTAATTTCTTATAGTCTTCTCATTCTACATTGTTCCTGTTCGCATTGGGGTCACAAATAACAAAAAAGAACAATAAAATAAAATATGTTTTCTACTGACATCTTCAGCGTTTTGCTAAACACTATGTAATTATGTTATTGCATAATAAGCTATTATCTATTTCAGTAGGAGAATTTATGAGATAAAATAGATTTATATACAATGATTGGCTTTTTTACAACTCTTAGTCGAAAAGTCGGTCTAGTTTCGAGAAAAACATCAGATGTTTCCAAAGTAGCCAGATCAAAAAGTCAAATATCAGAATTTTATTTCAAATTCAGAAATAAATCAAAAAGGGTAACTTTTACAAATTAATACATATCATGTTGACTTTTTTTTTGCATTCAATTTTCTCTCAGATTTTTGTTCATTAATTCATACTTTATTTTTAAAGATATTGCAATGAATATATTGTTTAGTTAACAAAAAAAAACAAATAATAAAAGACATTTACTATCGAAAATTTTCACTAAATTCAAAACATATTAAAAGACAAAAACAAGTCACAATATAACATAATATCGATAGTATTGTTATTGTCCATATTTTGCATTTTTCTAGATTTGTTTTAACAAATATATTTATAGAATTGCTCACAAGAATAATTACTATGGATTCTTATTTTAAGCTCAATACTAATTAATTCAATATTTATTTGATTAAAATAATTTGAATATGAATGCTAGTATGACTAAATATCATTTCCATATAAGAATTTGAACATAGAATGGAAAAGTATAGGAGATCATTTTTTTAACATTTTTATGTTGACTTAGAATTTACATCCGACAAATATGCATTTAATTAATCAGATCTAATGAATTCATTATCTTACTTATATGACAAGCTGCAGTGTAGAAAAATTCAGAAGAAAAATCATAAAAACATTCGAATTTCATACAATTCGATTATCCGGGATGTTTCTCAAACTCTCATAATACTAGTATACAATCTAATATCAAAATGATTTCTGTTTGATAAATCAGCTAATAAAGTTGTCGTTTAATTTCAATTATTGATAACCGTATAGGTCTTCACAAAAGTAGAATATACATAGGCATATACATTTGAAATTGTCAGTGCAAGATCGAACTCAGTATGTAACCATCTACTCATGTAGTCGAGGATTCAATGAGTTGAAACAACGACTATTACTTATTTACTGTTGAATGAGAGAATAAAATTTTTTTCAGAACAGTAACCACGAATAATAATCTTTGATGATATGGTATATACATGAATGATTTTATGAATTAAATATGTTTCGATTGAGCAAGATGATATAGATATATTGGAATTGATCTTGCATGAGAAAATATCTAAAGATAGACATTCATCAATCATTATGAATTGCATGAATTATTTTGAGACTATATTTAGAGTTTTTTTTCTGACAGCACTTTAATGTAGATATAATACCATCCAGACACGTGAAATATTTTGCATATGATTGTGAAATGGTAGATTAATAATATTTATTTATAGTAGCATAAAATGCTAAAGTAATGGGACAAAATGTTGAATTTTGTTTGTTTTCGACATGAAAATCTTTTTTTTTCTGTAAAGCAAAGGCTTCTTCTCCGCTTTGAAATTTTTATAGAAACTAAGCAATGCAAGAGGAAGCAGGTTTATCAGCAGTTCAATGTAGTCAGTTAGTAAGTGCAAGTTAAAAAGTAAATATGAAAGGAATGTTCATATGTTATTTCTGTGTTTTTACAAGCAAATACATTTAAAGAATCGAGTTTTTCTTTTTATGCACGATTATTTGCACTTTCTTTCGTCCGACACATCTTACTCTTTAGTTCAAAAAGTTTATATTAAGAAACAGAAAGAATATATTAGACTTTAATGCATAAATATCATTTGTGACAAGTGTATTCATAAACAATCCAGATAAAATATTTATTACGTATGATCAAATCAAAATGCATAGAGAGAACAGCATCTGGATGCATTTCTTTGCGTTCTGCCTTCATTTAGATGCTGTTTTAAGTGGTATTTGAAAACGATTGTATCATTGTATTTGAAATATATAACTAAAATCTTTCGTTTCTTTGATGTATCATCTAGCCATACTGCTAACAGTTTTGCATGAATACTAACATCTTTGAATTTACGTGAATATTTTTTCTCAACATTGAATTCCTCGAAGACAGAGACTACATAAATGCAGCTCGATTCTGAATCACTTTATAAATATCTTCAATGATATTTTTCAGAATACAAGCTATGGATTTTGATTGCTCTCATTTCTTCAAATGTCAGTGCCAACACTTACTGAATTAAAATTGTGAAGCATGATGAATCCAAAATTTTCTTTTATAGAATAATTAATATGAAATATTTGAGAATTTTCGATATTTTTTTTATTAAAGTTTGCATAATAAAATAAAAACACTGTATGAAATCAGTCTACAGACAGGGTGCAGAATTAATACAAATATTTTGATATGGTTTTTATTTTGTGAATAGTTTATGTGTAATTTTCTAAGAAAAGCATGTACATCGGAATCTGCGAGGAGAAAGAATCCGAATATCTATCTCAAAATACTTTAATAATCCTTTTAGATCGTATTCACAAAATTGACTTTGTGAAGAATAGCGATAACATAAACAAGATGAAAATAATGTTAGTATATAATATAGTCTTTTGATCCTACCCTCAACTATCATATAAAAATCAGAAGATTGAATATGTTAAAAATTTAGATATTTTGAGGTTGAGGTGACCACAAAACTAGGCTGGAGTAGTTACATGAATGAGTGAATACAGATTATTAGTCAAGTTTATCGAGTGATGCGTAAAATATTTACGATAATCAGAAAGAAAGATATCAAACTAAGAAGAAAGATCTCTCTATCCTATGCTCTAACACACTTTCTATTGCTTTTCTGTAATACGTAATTCTTTTTCACTGAGGGACAGAAGGAACGGGTCAAGCACATGTACTGCACTGAACATACGATAGTATACTCACTAAGGTTGTAACATGACTTAACGACGTTCATTCTTTTCTAGAGAGGAGATGATCCTAAATTATCTCAGCAGAATACTGGAGCCGCTTGATCTATCATCTACTAACTGCTGATGATGCTTCTGCATTTCAACTAACATTATCAGCCTATCTGATCATAGCGTCTCCTGAACTGAAATAGCTCAAACTAGTGGGCTTCAGATCTAATATTATCTATCCCTGAAGATTTTATGAGCAAGCTAAACATCGCGTTTTAGACTGGATGGAATTTAATAATATACACACCAAACAATATGACTGTTTCAGAATATCCCAAACTCAACTCTTTAATTTCGTTCTCAAGTTCTTTCTTACTCATTTCGTTGAAGATTAATAAATCCTTTATTCTACACAAGGTGCATTTATCATACAATTGTTATTAAATTGTATAATTTATAGCTCTCATTTTTTCTCTTAATCGATGCTTTTTCTTTTTACGTCCTATCTTCTTATACCTTTGTATCTATTTCTACTTTCTATCCAAAAGTGTATGAATCTACTCGATAAACCATATATATGATGCTAAACTCGCCTATCTCCCTACTTGTGAGTCAAAATAAAATGGCAAAATGAATACAAATACAAAAAAATACCGATGATGACATATTAGGGAAATATTGTTGTTTTTTTTTCAATGAATGACCTGTATATGGCAAACTTTATGCATATTTTCATTTATTTCTACTTTACTGCTCACTAAATCTTGATGAATTTCTATGACATTTACGTGTATAATGAAATTTCTAGTTTGCACTTGTTTATTTTTATCCTCTACCTTTGATGCAGTGCTACTCATTGACATGTTAAGTTGTGAGCTATCAAGTATATTCGTATTGACAATTGGAAAAATAATAAAACTTTAATAGATCGTTATAATGTTTAGTTTACTGTTCCATGCCTACTCACCTATATTTTGATGAGTTAGTTTTGTATTTTTGATGGAATGTGGTGCACTCATAACTAGAGATTGTTTACATGCATCTTATGCATATAAAACAAAAAAACAAGCTGCATTTAAACACGTTACTAGAACTTAAATAGACAAAGTAAACGCACTTTAATACAAGAGTAAAATCAGTCCTGTTGAAATGAGTACAAAAACTAATTTGAACCAGTTAAGATGCACTTTAGTCACGAGACACCCATAGAATGAGTGCGTTTGATGGCAGATATAACTTTGAAACGCATTACATGGATAAATCAATCTCGTAGTGTATAATCGAACTGTCGTAATTATTCAGTAAGAATTCATCGCTTCGTCACCACGCATTTATTTGATTTTTACGTATTTAGATGTCTTTTTTTTTCAGAAGGTATTTTAACAGTAGTATATAAGATGAAAATATGCTGTTGGAAACAGAAAGGAAACTGTTTTCTCCTAAGTGAATTACAACACTATTAAATACGATACATCACATACGAGACATTTTACTAAGGAAGAACAGTATTGATTTTTCTCGTATAAAAACTCATACAAGTTTGTATATAATTTACATCAGTGTTGTAGAATTAATAAAAATATCATTGGAAACTACGATGAACAAGTAATTGTATCACATTTTATATTTTTGTTTTTAGATAATCAAACAGTGACAATGAACGACAAAGAAATCATAATAATTTTAGTTTATGTCAAAATTTTCCTTATGAGTTTTGTTATAATTGGATCAATCCTCTATGCTCTACCGATTTGTTTTATTCGACGTTTTCATACTCCTCTTAATTTATTGACTCTTAGCCTAAGTGTTGCTTTATTCATGTGTACAACTTTTTGGACTATTTACTTTGTAATGAATACATTTTATACAAATAGATTATGGACGGAAAAATCCTGTTTAGTAATAATTTATCTTCAAACAATAGTCAATGGTCAGTTTGTTAATACTTTATGTAGTATATCATTAAACCGATTATTTGCTATCGTATATCCAAATAAAGCATTCTTTCGTACAAAAACGTGGGTTGCTATATGTATGTGTATCCAATTGATATATGGCCTATTAATACCGTTACCTCAATTTGCTTCGAATATCACAGTAATTAATAAAAGTTAGCAAACATAATATATATTTTTATTTTATTTTTAGCATTGTCTTCTAACAGGTCTTGAAATTGGTTATCAAATTTATGTTCTAGTTATTAATGCAATAATACCTTTAGTATTCTTGACTATAATCAATAGCATTATTTTTATTTCTGTTCGTCGTTCAACACGACGTGTTCATAACACGAACAGTGAACATCAGGAATCAGCTAATACTCTTAATCAGCGAGATGCTCGTTTATTGAAACATATGCTTTTTATGCTTATAACATTTTTAGGGGGTTGGATACCAATGTATATTATAGCAGTAATTGATTGGAATGGAGATGGAATATCATATATTGCACTTCATACTTGGTGGATATTACCGATGCTGAGTTTTATTATCAATATGTGCGATTTATTTATGTACAATCATGAATTACGATCATACATTACTACTAAACTACGCAATCGTCCAAGTCGATGACTCCTATTACGTTGTCCCAAATGCTAAATAAATATCATGCTTTTTATGTTCTTTTATTATAAAATATATTTTCATGTTTAACTCTTTGATGTTGTTCTGATTGTTGTATGTTATTGCTGTTCTGGTGTCCATATGGAATCATTCATAAAAAAACTATAAAAATAAATGTTTCTAATTTGTGCAAGTTATTCGTTTATGTAATATAAACATTCAGATGCTTCTCTTTATCAACGTTAAAAGTTTTTCTCTTATAGTGACAATATAAAGACGTACTATATAGAAAAGAGAAAATGGTTTGAAAACTGTTTTAGTCTCAAATGGTAGAAATACGTACATTCATAAATAAGTATTTTATTGTCAATAGATAAAAAAAGCTAGAATTTTTTTTCATATTTGTTATTTATAATTAAGAGTTTGATTTGTTTATCACAATGATAATTATATTGTGGGTGTGGGTGTGGGCAAAGGGAAAAAGCTGATTCCGTGATTCCGTGATTCCGTGATTCCGTGATTCTACTGATTCTATGTGATTCTGTTGATTCTGTTGATTCTATATGATTCCGTTGATTCCGTTGATTCCATGTGATTCTGAGTGATTCCGTGTGATTCTGCGTGATTCCATGTGATTCTGCGTGATTCCGTGTGATTCCATCGGTTCTGGAATCACTATGAATATCACTGTATTTCTCGACTATTACATCGTAACGTCAATAGGAACATTATAGAATCATTATAGAGATGAATTCTGAAGACTCCCGATCATTCCATTCAATAGAAAAATCAGTTCACTCATGATCGTAAGAATCATTGAGTCGAGCACAGCA